AGGTCCCTTCTGACCCTAGAAACTATGAAACTAAGTTTGGCAGACACTTGGCTGGGATGGCTTTGAGAAGGTGGCTGGACTAGATGACCTCATGTGGTCTCTTCCAGCCATACTTTTCTGTGTTCCTAAACTGGGTAGCCAAAAAAGGATCATTTGGTGGACCATATCTGGCTCTCTGGTGGGAACCTGAGGAGGGAGGGCTGTGCCTTGTGTTGCTCTGCTGCAGCTGGGGTTGGGCCTGCCCACACAGCATGCAGACTCCTCTGCTTCCCTCCCCACCCCCCGCATCTGGCTTTCTGTTGGTGTTACAGGGCAGAGGGGCTCTGCTTAGGGCGGGCCTCTGACTTTCCAGATGTGGCCTGGCTCATTACAGTGGGCAGGTGGGAGGGGTGGCTATTTGACATGCTGCATTACACCCTGTCCCATGCAGTTCTGGTTGCTGGTGCCCATGGTGTCAGGACTGCACAGCACCAACAGCAAGCTAGGGTGTGGGGGAGGGCATGCATGCAGTGGGGAGGGGAGGAGTCTTTGTGGCCCCAGCTGCCACAGAGTGGAACAGTGCAGGGCACAGCCTTCCCTCCAGACTTTTGGCAGATCAATTAGCATCTTCCTGCTCCTCCTTCCCTGCCCTCAACAACTCACCAAAACTCATTAAGTGGCCTTCCAGACCAAATACTTGCCCACTTCTGTCTTAAGTCATCAATATAGTTCTCTGTAGAACTTGGACTTTCCTTTGGGGTCTTCAGTCCTTTTCTGATGCCTTTTAGTGTGTAGAATTGTGGAAGCAAACTAAATGTTTAGAGCCAAACAGTACAGGAAAGGATTACAGCAGTAGGTATGGAGGTAATTACAATGACAGTAGGTCAAGTCAGGCAAAGCATCAGCTTCCATTTCAAAACATTATGAAATAATTTTATATACATCCTTTATTGTAAGCTTCATCTTACAGATCTATGAAGGTCAACACTGATTCTGTTTAGTCCTTAGCTGCAACAGACATGTTTTTCTTCCCCCACGTTCCTTTTTAAATTGATTTAAACCTTGCTTTTATTTTCATAGGATTTTTACAACTGGCCTGATGAATCCTTTGAAGAAATGGACAGCACGCTTGCTGTTCAACAGGTATCTTTACTTCTAAGAAATATTTTCCATGTTTAATTCTCCAAGTGGTTGTGATTTTTTTTTTTTAAATATGGAAAAGGCCATAGGGCATGTTCTCTGCCTGCTCTCAGTTTAGCTTTACAAAATAACTGAAGGCTCTTCTACATGTACAGTTTCACCAATCAAACTTAAAGGCAAAGGCTTTATTTTTGTGCATAGTAAGTTTCATTCTCTTACTAGTTTTCATTCAGTGAAGATATTTTATTATTTACTCGCTGCATCTTGGGGCCATCCTCTTATACCTACCATAATTCTTCTTGTTCTTTTACTTTAGTCTGTCAGTTTAACTGTTTTTCTAGTTAGATGTATTGCTATTTGCGTTGCTCACATCCTCTGTGAATCTAAGAGGTCCGAAGAGCTAACAGTAAGGGGCCAGTTCTAAATATGGAGTCCTAGCATTTTTTGAAGGATATTAAGAAATTATTAATCTTTCTTCTCAGTATATCCAACAAAATATAAGAGCAGACTGTTCCAACATTGACAAAATTCTTGAACCTCCTGAAGGCCAGGATGAAGGTGTGTGG